TGCAAGAGCAGTCAGTGTTCTTAACCTCTGAGCCATCTCTCTAGCCCCCCCCCCCTTTTTTTTGGTCTTTTAGAGACAGGATCTCTCTGTAGCCCCAGCTGGCCTTGAACTCACAGAGATCCACCTGCCTCTGCCTCCTGAGTGCTGGGATTAAAGGTGTACACCACTACACCTGGCCTCCAGCCCTAGTTTTTAATGCTAAGGTTTAGCATCATTTTTTACCATATTTTCATGAGACAAAAATGAATGCCTTCTATAATGACAATTTAATTTTCTTTTTATTTATTTATTATTTTTTTATTTTATGTGTATGCATGTATTGCTTGCATGTAGGTAAGTGCACCCATGTCGTGCAATGCCCGGCCAAAGAGGTTGTTGGATCCCCTGGGACTGGAGTTATGGACAGTTGTTAGCTGCCATGTGGGTCCTGGGATTTGAACCTGGGTCTTCTGCAAGAACATTCAGTGTTCTTAACCACTAAGCCATCTCTCCAGCCCCGACAATTTAATTTTTTTAAATACCGTATTTTCTACCAGGCATGGTGACACACACCTTTAATCCCAGCACCTGGGAGGCAGAGGCAGGCGGATTCTGTGAGTTCAAGGCCAGCCTGGTCTACATAGTGAGTTCCAGGACAGCTGGGGCTACAGAGAGACCCTGTCTCAAAAAAAAACCCAAAACTATATTTTCATGTTTTTATTCTGATTTTAAAATGCTTCTTACAAACTAGTGTATATTTTTCAAGACTATCTCAATGTATATAATAATATAGTTTAGAATATCATTTTGTTTATGTAAATAAAATAGTTCTTCATATAATTTCCTTGTTTTTTAAACTAAAATAACATAGCTAGCCAGTAAACACATTTAACATTTTTACATATTTCCTGTTTAACATAATAATGGTAATTGAATATATTTGTATTATTATGCATGAATTATATGAAATAACATGTTTCATCATGACATTTTCATACATGTGTATAAGGTACTTTGATAGTATTTGCCTTTATTGGAACTATTTTTAAAATCTTGAGGATGGCATTAACTTGTACTGGTTTCATTTTCTTGTAGCATAAAAAATTTTCCATTTTTATTTTATGTGTATGAGTGTATTGCCTGCATGTAAGTACACCCATGTCATGCAGTGTCCGTAGAGGTCAGAAGGTTGTTGGATCCCTTGGAACTGGAGTTATAGATGGCTGTTAGCTGCCATATATGGGTGCTGGGAATCAAACCTGGGTCGTGTGCAAGAGCAGCCAGTGCTCTTAACCACTGAGCCAGCTCTCCAGCCCCAACATAGCATACATTTTTCATTCATTGACAGTCATGTGTTTTATTCCTGGAACTCTTGTAGAATGCCGCCAACGTTCCATGTTGTGATATGGGTCTCTTTCTCATGCTGCTGAGTAGTGATCTTTCTGTGTTACATAAACTAAATCTGGAGCACATATACGATAATATTTTTTGTCCCACTTGTTGGTTTTTTAGTAGGTTTGTTAATAGGATCTTTTGTCCTAGAGAAACTTGAAACTTTTTGTTAGTTGAATTTATTAGCATTTTTCCACTGGTTCCTGGGTTTCAAATCATATTTATAGTAGCCATTTCCACCTTAAGATTTAAAAAGTATTGTTCTATGTTTTCTGTTAGAGTGTTTATGAGGTACCTGATCATTTTTAGTGTTTACATCTGTAGTACCCGTGGGACTCGCCTCTTTGTGTAACTGGGAGATAGAAATCTAAACATTCTCGACATGACTTTATAGTGTCTTGAGATGTCCCTGGGCCCACACAGTGCTTCACCTATTCATTTCTTAGTTGTCTTTTGCAACTAAAGGAGCTACAGAAAAGAAAGAGAGCTCAAAGCTAGAACCATCTTTTTGTAAGGTTTATTTTTATTATTTTAAAATTTTGTATGTGTGTGAGATATATACATATGGGTATATGTATATGACCACTGGAGCCCAGGGCATCCAGAAGAGTGTCGGATCCTCTGGAGCTGGGGTTACAGGCAGTTGTGAGTCAGCTGATGTGGAGGCTGGGAAGGGAACTCAGGTTCTCTGCAAGAACAGTATGTACTCTTAACCACTGAGGCATCTCTGTAGCCCTGAACTGGAACCATCTTGATGACTTGCTGGAAGTGAATTTTACAGTAAATCCAAAAAGATATTCTCCTACTCCCTTTCCAAGTCTGCTAGAATCTCTGATTAGAAATGCGTTGGTCACAGATTAATCTGAGAATACTTACCCACTTACTTATTCATGTTTTATTCAGTGTTCTTCCATGAAGTTTTCTTTGCATAATTATTGCATTTTATATATCGAATAAATCTCTCTGTTGCTATGAATATCCTTTTTTCCCCATCACCTGATAACTGGAGTGAATTTGAATAAGACAAGACTCTCCCAAAGTCTTTGTTTACATATAAAGTACAGAGTCATTTTATTATCTACTTGTACAGAAGGGAATCAGAATACCACTAATTCAATATAAAAATCTTACAAGCATTTGTATGGGTTAGGGATATAGAGGTAACTTTACATATCATGGCCAAAAACTGTCAAGGAAGATAATCTATCAGAAATAACAGGTTTCTTTGGAAAGTGGTTTTATGAGAAATAGCATTAAATTTCTAATTTATGGGATTATTTTAAGACCTTTTCAAACAGTTCTTCCAATGACAAATTTATATTAATGGCCAACAGAACAGATTGGTACTAGTTAATAGAGAGGTCCCCATGGTTCTACTAGACGATAAAACTTCACCTTCTCACAAATCCTCTCATTTTTCACTTTGTCAAGTTGGATTCTCTATAGTAGTTGAATGGTATAGAATGGGGGGCTTTGCCTCCATCTCGTTCTGTAATTTTTTTTTTGTTGTATGAAGACTAATATTTTTAAAATCTTAAAACTGGAAACCATGTAATGGGGATTTGGAGTATCCACACCTCTATACCCCAATCAGTACCTACTGCTTTGAGCTAATTCAGGTCTAGGAGGAAGAAGAGAAGAAAGTAGTTGGGAGCAGGAATGATACCCTCATGGTAGACCCTGTGTGCCTCCAAGGTATGGTGGATGAGTGAGCCACGTTGGTTTGCAAGTTCTTTGGGGATGATATAAAGAGAAACTCTCAGCTGAAGTTCACCCTCCTGCAAAAACTTCAGTTGGCTGATTACCTCTTTGCTTTTAGTTTCTCAGATTCTGAGAGGCCTACCCTTCTTCTAGGGTGACATCATCCATCCAAGTAATCCTCCTGGACTCAGTGTCTCTAAGAAGTAACAGCTCCGCCCTTCCTCAGGGAGAAGCCCATGGGAATTGTGTGTCTTCATGGTCCCATTCTCTGGCTCCCAGCTCAGACTAACTTCCAGGGTCCAGTCTGTAAATGTTTCTGTTCCCCCTAGACCCCTGCAGATATAGGCCAGGTACACTGAAGACAAAGCCCTCTCACTCGCCTTGAGGAGAGGGGAGCACTTTGCTCAGGTTCTATAGCGAGTTTAGTGTGAATTGATGACATTTGAACAGGAAATCCTAGAATAGCCCCCACAACTTCCTGGATACTTCCTTGTATTTAGGTGAGAAAATTCACAACACACACTTGTTGTAATAGAAGCCAAAGAGCCCTATAAAATTAGCAAGACTTAAGCCCTAAATCTCCTAGAAAGAAGAGCTCAGGCGAACAGAACCAGATCACTTGTACTTTAATGTGTTTCCCTCTGTAGGCTCTGAAGAAAGGTGAATCCAACAGTAGCAGGGCAAGGCAGAGGGACAGAAAAGGTCTGCGTGGACTCAAGATATTTCTGGCAGAACAGGGACACGGGAAGGTGGTGCTTTGGGTATCAGCACACGTGGTCCTTGCAGGATGTGCCTGCACGGGTCTCACTGTCTTCCCATCTATATCGCATCATATCCCAAACCAGAGCATATTCCCCTGAGATGGGGTTCCAATGAACCCTTCCTTCCTAGGTGCCTCTAACCCTCAGGCTTTCTCAGTCTTGAGCCTTCATTTCTACAAATTCTCCTTGGACAAAATCGTTTCATTTAGTTTCTTTGATCCAAGTCCAAACCCATGTGAATATGGTCTTTGGTCAGTTTGGTGTTCAGCACAAATGTCTGTCCAGGACTAAGATGATGACCAGTGTCTCATCTGTGTGGCTCACCATGCTTTTTCCCTGGACAATAGAAATTCCCGTGTTACTGCCTTTGAATTCTGTTCCTCAACCAAAGGAGATCTACCAGGCTTGCTTACTGTTGTAGCTGTATGCTTAAGTTGTTGCCAATGGTGAGGAAATCAGTATCTCCTAGGTGAATTAGCATACGTAAAGGTGTTTGTGTTAGTAAGCTTTCCACCACTGTGACAAAGTACCCAAGGTAATCAACTTGAGAGAAGGAAAGACTTATTTTGGCTCTCTGGTTTAGAGATCTCTAGCTATGACTATTTGACCATGCTCTAGATCTGTAGCCAAGTGGATTGTCCTAATGAGGAACTCATGGTGCAGCAAAGCGGTTCGCTTCAGAGCAGCCAGGAAGCAAAGAAAGAGACAAAGAGGCTGAGATCCCACCATGTCCTCAAGGGCTCCCCCTGCCCAGCTGCATAACTTCCTTCCTGCCTCCTAAAGTTCCCACCTTTGTCAGCAGTGTTGTCATCTGGGACCAAGCTTTCAACACAGGAGCCTTTGTGAAACATTTAAATCCAAACTGTAACAATTTTATATTAATTCCCAGCACCGAGTAAGCACTTAAGTGTGAGTTCTCATTATTGTTATTCTCAGTGACTCCTGGGTTACAAATGAAACTCTGTCTGAAATTGTTTTCTATATTAATGTGTGAGTTAATGAATTGAATTAATGTCAGGGTAAAGAAAATGGAACCTAGGGCAAACCAGGTTAAATATCAAAAGCTATAGGTTCTGAGTTTTTTACAATTAAAATTATTCAAATTATAGTAAAGTGTAATGTTTGGGAAACACTATTTCATGAATTGCAACCTTTTAGAAGTATCTCTTTTTTGTTTATTTCCTGTTTTCTCAGGAAGAAAGAGAAGCTTTCTTGGGAACTACTTCATTCAGAACATCAAAACCCCAATGCAAAGAGGCTGGTCAAAAGGTTAAAAACAAACTATGATACATTTTCAATAAGTACCTCAATTTTCATTCTTTACTGTGTGCTTTAAGTAACAAGCCTATTTCTCTGATTATCATCTATATCTATCTATCATCTATCTATCTATCATCTGTCATCCATCCATCCATCCTAACTGTTGAGAAATATATCTGATTTAGTTAATTTCTAAATTATGTTAAGAAAAGGAACAAAAAATAGCAGCACCAAGAACAAGTGACTTAGTGGTAAATCTGTGAGCAGACATCAGGTCATCATGCAGCCTCTGCTGAATTTTCAATGCCTCAAATAGCCGTAAAACAAAACAGAACAAAAGCCTGTGGGTTATAAGAGATACTGTGGCTCCTTCTCTTCCCACCACCCTGTGGTAACTGTGAGGATTTGTGCCTGTCATTTCTTTCCTTTTGCCTCTGTTATGCTCATTTATAAAGTGAAATAATGTGAGTTAGATTAGCTGCTCTCCAAGGTCTACCCCAGCTCCCTAGGTAGCCTCATGGTCTGTGTACTTGGTAAGGAGCAGGGACAGCAGTCTCGCCTGCGGGGTGACCATGAAGACCCAGTGGAGGGTCTTCTACGACTTCACTATGTGGCTGGCTGGTAGGGTGGGAACAGCGGCTCAGCATCCCAGCAGTCCATCTTAAGACATGCACAGCTGTCTGTGACTCAGATTCTCAGCTCTTCCACTCTGACCCCACCACATAGATGTTCTAAATTTCAAGCCCTCTCCTCTCTGCAATTTGCAAGTGATTCCACAGCTCTGCTGGGTTGCTCTCAGCCAGAGGAAGCTGCTGCAAAGGAGAAATGAACTGAGCATAGAGGACAGAAAAGGCTGCCCACCAGGACTGCATTCTCTACTTACCAGTCCCTGGCTCAAATCTGACAAATTATATGCTAATAGTCTAAAATCTATTTGTTCTCTCTCTTTCTTTCTCGATCCCCTCTCTCTCCCTCTATCCCTTTCTCTCCCTTTCTTCTTCTCTTTCTTCCCTCTCTCCCTCCCTTTTGCTCTTGATATATGTATATGTGTATGTATGTATGTATGTATATGTGTGCATATGTGTATATAAGTATGCATAGATGCGCATATGTGTGTATGTGTATGGCCATAAATTTCTCACTTAGTATAGTAGAAAGTATATATATTTTGCTACCTGTCCATGTCGACAATGGCTAACTTGCTCTTAAATGAAGGCACTGAGTAGTAGCCTGGCTGCTGTTACCTTGGGCAGAGTATCTCTCAAATGTACCTGCTCTGGCTCCCATCATGTTTCATCACTGAGTCCCTTACTGGCTCTCAGCCCCATCCTTGGCCAACACTGACCTCTCTAGCCATGACCTCCACCTTTACACTTCTCAAGAGTGACTCTAATAATCTCCCCTTCCCTGACATATCTGGACTCAGAGATCTATCTCCTGAATGGACATCTTAAATCTTCTGATTTGACTTGAAAGAGATGCCAGACAACCCTGTTCAAAGAAATGTGGCCTCTCTCCTGGGCTACATAGTGAGCCCTAGGCCAGCAGATCTGTAGAGTGAGACCTCATCTCAACAAATAGACAGTAAAAACAAAAATAAGAAAGAAGAAATGTGGCCTCTCTCCTGAGCTACATAGTGAGCCCTAGGCCAGCAGATCTGTAGAGTGAGACCTCATCTCAGCAAACAAATAGACAGTAAAAACTAAAATAAGAAAGAAGAAATGTGGCCTCTCTCAGGAAGTGTGGAGTAACAGGGGCCCCGAGGCTGGTAGAGCCACACTTCCTGCCCCCCACCGTGCTCTGTGCAGCAGCCTAGGGGAGAACCCTGCCTTAGGATTTGGGCTATTACACTGTTCCTGAACACTAAGACATCTGTTGATACTCTGAGAAAGCCCAAGACTCTCCTGGACATCCTGACAGCTTTTGCTTAAAATGATCAGCATTTAGAATGATTAGCGCTGACTAATAACAAAATTGTTTTAAATAGCGATGATTGTTTTGACCACATTATTACTTCGAATGGTTGATGTATAATTTTAGTATTATTATGTGATTACTAAGATTAGAAGACCCAAGAGAATAGTTAAACCCTACTTCATTCAGGCATTTTACTTCCCAGATAGCTGCAAGGAGCTGGAACCAACTCACATGCAAAGAATGATGATAAAGCCAAGCTCCTAATCACATGATCTGCTCTTCAGCTCAAGTCTTTTCCATGCCAGCAACTGGGAGAAAGCAAAATGGTCTTTAGTTTCTTTGACCTAAAGTTGTTTCTCTTCAATAGGTTTTGGTGGATAGTGGCGGCCAATGAACAAGTCCAAGAAAGCTTAAACTGAGAGGAACTGAGAACGTAATATATGATGGCCAGCAATGGCTGATTTTGAACAGACTCAGGCTACAGCCAAGCCCAGGCTTCCAGTCTGATTATTTTATAGGAAAAGAGAGCACAGACAGGATGCAGATGCCTCCTGTTGGGACCATGGGAGGAAGGGAAAAAGAGAGGGAGAGCATTTTCCTGGGTGCATCCACCACTTTAGCACATTGAGTGATAGGGCTGGATGTCACAAAAAGCCACCCCCGTGTGGATAATCTATTACCTCCACCAACAATACAATTACCACTATATTTGGTCCAACCACATTCTTGGAAACCAATAGATTTAAAGCAGTTTGTTCTGAGGGACAAGAAGAGGTGGTAAGACAGGGTCATCTATTCCTTTACCCTGTTTTACTCACTACTCTTAAAACATTGACTATCACTAGCCAAATTGGTTATTCCTTTATGTAAAGCTAGTAAGCTCCATGATATCATAATTAGCTTGATGAGGGTAACACCTTGTGAGGCAGAGGACATCTGACTTTGGGATGTGATCCTTCCTGAGATGTGAATAATCAATACGTGCCTCATGGACTGGGTGCATGGTTCACACCTGTAATCCTAGGACTCTAGAGGTAGAGACAGGAGGATTGTAAGTTCAGGGTCAATCTGGGCTGTATAGCAAGTTCGAGACCAACGTGGGCTATGGGGTAAGACCCTGTGTCAAAAAGATAAATGTATGTATGTATCTTGGGGCCATTGTGATCTTGATGAGATTAAAACAAACAAACAAAAACTTTTGAGCAGCTAATTATGGCCACAGCCTAAAAAACAAAATATCAATCCCCAAGGCTTGCTTATACTCAACATTATAGCACCCATTTTGTTACTTGAGAAACACAGAAATACTGTTCCAAATGTATTTGGAATGACTTAGGAGAATTGATAAAGAAATACAAGCTGAGGGACTGGAGAGATAGCTCAAGGGTTAAGAACACTGACTGCTCTTGCAGAGGTCCTGGATTCGAATTCCAGAACCCACGTGGTAGCTAACAACCATCCATAATTCCAGTTCCAGGGACTCTGACACCTTCTTCTGACCTCCGCCGGCACTATGTAACATGGGTGCACTTACATACAGGCAGGCAGTACATTCATACACATTAAAAAAATATATATATATAAATTGAATCTCTGTCAAGTATCATCTTTATAATTAAGTTTAGATCAGAAGTCAGCAAATCACAGCCAATAAGGAAAATACAGCTTACCAACTATTTATAAATAAAGTTTTATTGGAACAGACCCCTTTATTTACATGCAGTGTATGGACACTGCTTCCTAATGTGATGAAAAATGCTCCTGATTTCTAATCTGGACATTTGATGTTTTTCTTAAAGTACTAGATAGACTCTGAAAAGTTATATGTAAACGGTGTTTTATAAAACTCTATTTGCAATGCAGCACTATGAATAAACAGGTATTTATGTTTTTTTTTAACTTTCTCAGGGAGAAGAGTCAAGTCTAGAACTTCAGAAAGAGGTAGAAAAAGAGGTAAAAAGAAATGATTTATAGACTTTTTAAATGATTGAGAATCTAAATTCTTTCTTTAATTGGTTGTTTTTAGTGTATTATACTGGGTTGCATAAGGCCATGTTCATGCTAGCATATAAACGTACCTCCTCCGTCATATACCATCGCCCTCCTCTCCCTCTTCTACCCTCCCTTTAATCTCTTTTGTTCTCTTAAACATTTTGCTTCTGCTGTTATGCTATTTGAACATGTGTGAGTTTATGTATCAATATGAAGTCTTAAGATGAGAGAAAACATGCCTTTGTCTTTCTGAGACTGGCTTAATTCGCTTAATATGATCATCTCCAGTTGTACCCATTTTCGTACAAAATGCATAATTTCATTCATTCTTTTTTTTTCCTCTCCTTTTGAGATAGGATCTCCTGTAGTCCCAGCCTAGAACTCACCATGTAGACCAGGCTGGCCTCTACCCCATAGAGATCCGCCTGCCTCTGAGTGGGGTTAAAGGCATGCTGAGATTGAAGACATGTACCTGACTCAATTTCATTCTGCTTTACGGTTGAAAAAACCTTCCATTGTATACATAAACCACATTTTCTTTATTCAGTCCCTTGTTCATGGATACCTAGGTTGGGTCCATAGCTTAGCTACTGTTGGACGTGCTGCAAGAAAGTTTGATGAAGTAACTAAATTCTTATTCTTCACTCTGTTAAACTATTAAGTCAGTTTTCTTGATTGGCTTATGGAGCCAATGTCAAACATTGGCATTGTTGTCAGCACTGGAGTTTCAACAACAGGACAGGCTGCTGCTAATTCCCATTCCATTGATTAACCAGTTGATCTGGGAGAGTCCCTGGGCTGCCCAAGTCTTCCTTGTGCTGGTCACTCTGACACTTAGAACTTTCTCTTGCCCACATAGAAAGCCATAGAAATGCACTGAAGGAGGCTCTTGATGATAATACAAGACCCACATTTGAATTCCTAAATTCCTGTGTGATTTCAGTTTGTCATTTGTCCCCTTTTAACTCAACTATAAAAATGTGGGAAAACCCAGGTGTGGTGGTGTATGGTTTTAGTTCCAGCACTCTAGAAGCAGAGGCAGGCAGTTGGAGGCCAGCCTGGTCTACATAGTGAGTTCCAAGCCAGTCAGGACTAGGTAGTGGGACCTTATCTCAAAAAACAAAAACAAATAAATAAAAAAGATAGATGTAGGAGGAAGTGTTGGGGTGAATTAAACAGAGTGACCTGCCAGAGCCGCTCCAGTTCCAGTCTGTGGGTCTCTGAAGCAGGTCTGAAAGGACTGTAGACGGCCCTCCCTCCCCATCCCAGCTCCTCTCTCTTGTTGATGGATCTCCATAACTGACCATAAAGGCAGGAGTCACTGCTGTGGAAGTTTGGTTTAAGGCCTTCAATGCCTGGTTCCGTGGTATCACACACCTCCTCGAGTGATATACTGTTACTAATGGAGTGCTCTGCAGAGTATTCTAGAACTTCTGCCTGAGCCCCTGGGAAAGCTAGGTTAGGTGCCCCCTTCCATCCACTCATCCACCATTGATGCCCCTAACAGGACAGAAGACTGAAATTTCAGTTCTTTTCTCCATCTACCAAACTCTAAAGTCATGATAGAATGAGAAATCGTTCTTCAAAACATGAGGAGGAAAGTCAATGGACAGTGGGTAATTGAGGCCCAACAGGTTTGGAAGCTCAGATTCTGCTGCACACTGCTCCACTGAATTGGGTTCAGAGGGTGGGAGTGGTGGATGATGTCATCTTAATCTAATCTTTCATAAAGACTTTAAACTGTAACTAGTTATGAGAAAGCCCAATACATTATAAGTTATAAAAGCTGGATATCAAAGTCCATGGAGGAAAAATTACTCCGTTTTAGAATAAAATGGAATGTTTCCCTACAGGCCCAAGAATTGCCAGAGGAAATAATGTGAATTTTGACCTTCCTGAACTCCCTGTGACCTGTGGTGATGTGAAGGGGACTCTGTATAAGGAGAAACTTAAGCAAGGTGAGCTCACAATCCTCTGTGCTTTCCACCTGGACTGCATAGTGGACAATTTAGGGAGTGGGCACCTGTGTCCCATGTGTTCCAGCCCAGTTCCAGGTTGAGGGATTCAGGGAACTCAGCATGTAGGCATACTCACACCCTTTGCCGAAGTGAAAAGTTGCAAAGCTGAGTCAGCAACAAGAAAAGGCTCATGAGAGAAAATCCAGAAGAATCCAAACTCCCGACTCTGCTCTCTTTGTGAAGTCACACAGGACACACTTAATTACCCTAGCAACAAATATGGGAAGGTATGTTTTCAGGGAAGCTGACTTGAGCCCAGGAGCCCAAGGGCTTTATCAAAGATGAGTTTGTAGGCACCTTCTCTCTATGGAGCACGTATCAAATCCAGATCCCCACAAGGAAAGTAGGTTTTGTGCATAAACCATATGGTTTGTAGAAATAGTTCAGCACAGTGAGCTACTCTTTTTGTTTGGGGCAGTGGTAGAACCTCTCTCTCAATCCAAATTCCCACATACTAGCCAAGGGCCCACCTTGCACAAAGTTGTTTTTTCAGGAGTGTCTCGGGCTGCTGCTTAACTCTGTTCTGTGCCACACCCAGAGTGGGCTGCAATAATTAGGGTAGATTCCTTTTTCTTTTTCTTGGGATTAAACCCAGGGCCTCCTGTGTGTGAGGCAAGTGCCACTGAGCTAGAACCCAGACTACATTTTTACATTTTTAATTATCATAAACCCTTAGCCTACCAGGCTCTCTCTCCTTCTCCTGTGAAAAGGGCCCAGAAGATGTCCATCCAGACCCAATACCAGAGTAAGCATTTTCATGGAAAAGGTAGAAAAGGTACATGTTTGAGAAATGCAATAGTAACCTTTATGGGCCTATTATTACCTGTAACGTCTGTCTAACTTTAAGCTAAGTAGGAAGAACATAGAATTAGAAGAAAGATATATATTCAAATTTCAGTTCTACCAACATTAGCCCTGTGTTCATTGTTATAATGAAATGCCCAAGTCAGGCTAGTTTATTTAGTTCATAGTTTGGGAAGCTGAAAGGCAAAGATCAGGCAGCCCTCGTCTGTTTGGCCCTTGGTGAGGACTAAATGGTAGAGGCATGTGTGGAAGGGAGAGATCATATCATAAAACAGGAAGCCAGAGAGCAACTGGGTTCTACAAGAACAATCTTAGCCCTCAGTGAGCAGGTACTTCCTACCAGCCCAAGTTCATTAAGGCCCACTTTGTGCTTGACTGTGTCAAGGTCCTGGTTTTCCATGTATGAACCCTGACGGAGGCACTCAAATCATATTAAATCACAGCACTCCGTTTCTCTATCATCTTTGTCAGGGTACTCAGTCTAACCCTGAACTTCCTCTTTTAAAAAGTGAGAATGAAACTTTTCTCACCATATTACTATGAAAAAAATGAGATAGACATAAAATAGTGTAAAAACTGTAATTGTTAAAGTATAGCATTGATCTATCATGATCCATCTTCTTTCTCATAATACATTTTTAAAAGACTTAATTATTTTTGTTTTGTTTTAAATGTATGCGTATTTACCTGCACATAGGTAAGTATATCATGTACATGTCTGGTGCCCTCAGAAGCCCCTAGAACTGGAGTTAAAGACAGTTGTTAGATGTCATGTGGGTGCTGGGAACCTAATTCAGGTTCCCTGCAAGAGCAGCCAGTCTCTTAACTGATGAGTCATCTCTCTAGCTCTTTTGTGCCAACAAATATGTGTTTAACTTATGATTCTGCTGCATATGTGTAACTTAGCTGTTCCTTCTAGATAACATTTCTATGATCACTATTTTTTTTTTTTTTTTTTGAGACAGGATCTCTCTGTAGTCCCAGGTAGCCTAGAGTTCACTATGTAGACCAGGCTGGCCTTGATTTCTCAGAGATCTGCCTGCCTCTGTCTCTCAAGTGCTTGGATTAGAGGTGTGCGCCACCACACCAGCTTTCCATATCACTTTTAGCATCAAATAGCCATGAATCTAAAATATGAGAAATAATCACTTATTAGTTGGAGAATGTTATGGAAGCAAGGAAGGCGTGGCTGTGGTGAGGGCTTCCATGTGGCCATGTGGATTCAGAAGAGGCCGATGGGGGAACTTTGTGTCCTAATTCCCCTCTCTGAAATCCAGGCTGGCTCTACCCTGGGGCACTGTGAAAGGAGAGAAAGAATGATCCTTTTTGTTTTTTAGAGCTGTTCCTTCAATTTTTTTCTTTTAATATTAAAGTGGAGTAATTTTAAAAAAATTTATTTATTTCTTATTTTATAAGTATGAATGTATTGCCTGCATGTATGTAAGTGCACCTGTGTTGTGCAATGTCCAAGGAGGTCAGAAGAGGGTATTGGATCCCAGATCCCCTGGAACTGGAGTCACAGACAGTTGTTAACTGCCTTGTGGGTGCTAGGAGTTGAACCTGGGTCCTTTGCAAGAGCAGATAGCACTCTTAACCACTGAGCCATCTCTCCAGCCCCAACAGTAAATACTTTTAAAAGTTAATGTCAGTGGTAGTTATTCCCATTGCGTAAGGGTAGGGAAATCAACACATGCAGCATAGGCCAGGCTGTCCTTGTTTATCAGGCTGAATGGGATCCCTGATGACTTAAAGGGAAATGCACACCCTTCTAAGACCGATCCTGAGCCCCAGCTGCAGCATGTGGTAGGTCAAGAGCAGGTGTTTTTGTAGTTCAGAGGGAGTTCATCTTGTCTTGGTCTTACAGGCATCTGGAAAAGGAGTATACGGAGTGAGAATGGACGGTGGTTCACCCCAAGGCAGTTTGAAATTAAAGGAAAACACAAAAAATCCAAGAACTGGAAGCTAAGCATACGCTGTGATGGATGGACCCTCAAAGAACTGATAGAGGTATTCTGGTGGCAAATAGCTTCCGTGGTTCCAGGGTAAGACGGTGGGCGAAATGCTCCTTCCCTCTGACGCATAGCTTCAATTATTCCGAGTTAAGATAACAGATCAGAAGCTTTCTTTGTGTGACAGGTGACTCCAACCAAGGATTGAGTGGTCGTTATTCACCCACACCAAGTGTTAGCAGAATTTCACTGTCTACAAGACCCTTATGATTCTTCTGGTCACACTGCATAGGTTATTGCTAATATGCCATTTGGGTGCTACGCTGACTGGCTTACATTACAGCTTAATCCTCTCTCCCCCCCGCCCCCACCCCGAAGCTGAGGACCAAACCCAGGGTCTTGCACTTGCTAGGCAGGCACTCTACCACTGAGCTAAATCCCCAACCCCTTGCTTAATCCTCTTAAATGCATTAACACATATCCTTTAGAAGGTAAGAGAGTCAACTGTGGCCTCAACTCTACCATTAATTAGTTGTGTGAAACTTGGTAGCATGAAAGCAACTTAGAGAGGGAGGAGTTCCTTAAACTTTGAGTATCAGTGTTAAAAAAATAGCATCATATACTTACATATATGAATTGCATATAATTACCTATCTGAAAATAATGCGTCCATGTGGGTAGTTCCTGGGTTTCAGAATGTTTTGATAATGTTTGTTCTGGTAAGGCAGTTCAAATTTATTCTTAAAAAAGAGTAGCTGAACACGGTATCTAATACCTGTAATCCCAGCACTTTGGAGACCGAGGCAGGGGGATTGCTCAGACTTCAAGGCTGACCTTGATTGTATAGTACATTCCAGGCCAGTCTGGGTTATAGAATGAAACCTGGCCTCAACTCTGTACATCTGAAAATAAAAGAAAATATATAAATAAATTTTGAAATAAGTCCTTTGCTCTTTGTTCCTACCAACCCCCTGGTATGGTAAGATCAGGGGGAGGTCCCTGTGCCACCTGAACCCATTTCTTTTGATTCTGGATGCACTGATCTTTCTGTCACATATCCCAGATGGCCTTTCCCCATTTCACTCTCACAATAAAGCAAAAATCTTTGCTCGACCAATATGTGTTGAGCTGCATCTAAAGCTGTGGGGCATATAGATATGAGGCCCCCAGCCAGGACAAGGCTGCACATTCATAATCTGTCTGCAGTGAGTGGGTTGCTGCAGTATCAAGAAGCGCCTACAGGAAGTGATGTAGCAACCAAGGGACAGGATGGCTGTTTCTGGATTGGAAGTTGGAAATAGTATCATGGACCAGTTTTCATTGAGCTGGATCATACAAGAGAACAGTTCTGACCAAGTGTAGAAGAAGCTTTCTGTATGCAGGGAAAGGAGAGCGTGGGGATCTGCCCCTCAGTGTGTCAAGAACTGTGAGTGATAGAAGCTCTAAACTTCACCTCATTGTGGAGGCCACAAGGTCAGAAGAAACAGTCTAAATATTTCCTTTACTTATGATGGAAGCATGGTGTCCTACTTTGTTCTTCATTGCTGTGACAAAATTCTCTGACCACTACCAACTTGGGGAGGAAAGGGTTTATTTAGCTTACATCTCCCAGGTCACAGTTCATCCGGGAGCCCAGGTAGGAACTCAGGGCAGGAACCTGGAGGCAGGAGCTGGAGCACAGGCCATGGAGGAACGCTGCTTACTGGCTTGCTCCCCTGGCCCCTGCTCAGCCTGCTTTCTTATGCAACACAGGCCCACCTGCCCAGGGGTGGCACCGCCCACAGTGGGCTGGGCCTCCCACATCACTCATCAAGAAGATGCCCCTCAGATATGGCCACAGGCCAGTCCAACAGAGGCAATTCCCCAATTGAGGCTCCCTCAACCCAGGTGTGTCAAGTTGACACTAAAGCTATCCAGCACACATGGGAAATAATTTCTATAAAGACACCTTGTGGGGCTGAAGAGATGGCGCAGTGGTTAAGAGCAGTCAGTGCTCTTGCAGAAGACCTGGATTTGATTCCCAGCATCCACCTGGTGGCTAACAACCAGCTGTAACTACAGTTCCAGGGGATCCAATGAACTTCTGACTTCTAGCACTGCATGACATGCATACACTTAACACACTCGCAGGCAATACACCACACACATAAAATAAAAATAATAGATAAAATATTTCTTTAAAAAGATACCTTGTATTTGCGTTAACAATGGGACGCCCAGGTAGAAATATCTAGAAAGCAGTTAGAAATACCAAGTTCGCAAAATAAAAATAAGGGCCCATCCCACCATTATCTCTTTCTTTCAGAAAGAACATTTGTCAAATCCACCAAGAGCAAAGAAGAATGTTACCCTACGAACTTCTGCCAAGCTGTCTAAGGGCACTGTTGACAAACTGGTAATTTTCCATCTCTGTAGTCTTATAGTTTTTATTTATTTATTTATT